ATTCTTACCCTTCTATTTCCACCATCTCCCCTACCTTGGATCGTCATACTCATTCTACAATAATGGTTTTATACAGTATTTGTCCTTATATGACTGAGTTAGTTTACTCAGAATAATGTTTTCCAGTCTCTCTCAAGTTAGGTAGTAATTCACAAAATCTTTGCCCCTGTTTTCTGTGTAGTATTCCGATTGTATGTGACTGGGAACAAACATTTGGCAATATCATCTCAGACAAGAGTCTCATAACAAAAGTTTATAGAATACTCCTAAGCCTCCACAAGAAAAAACTGATAAGCTAATTACAAAATGGGTAAAAGACATGAAAAGAATTTTCACAGAGGAATATATTCAAATGGCCAACAGACATAAGAAGAAATGCTCCAAATCACTGTCAGTTAGAGAGATGCAAATCAAACCCACAATGAGATACCATCTCACTCCAGTAGCAGTGGCACACTTTAGCAGGACAGCAAATAATAAATGTTGGAGAAGATCTGGTAAGGTTTTACATTGTTGGTGGGATTGTACAATGTTATAACCACTCTGGAAGGCAGTTTGGCACTTCCTCAAAAAGCTGAACATAGAAATTCCACATGACCCAACTATTCAGTTGCTTGAAATATATCCCCCAAAAATTAGAACTGAGGCTCAAACAGAAACTTGTACACCAGTGTTCATAGCAGCATTATTCACCATTGCAAGAACATGGAAACAGCCCAGATATCCAGCCACAAATGAATTGAATGAGAAGTTGTGATCTGCTTAATTTTACATGGTTTTCTTTCTCTGGCTTTAGAAAGTATTTATCTACTTCCTTTGTGTTTGATTACTTTCTTGCTAGTTAACATCCATTCATATAATACTTTATTCTCTCAGTACATATGTCATGAATGTACACTATGGCCCAGTAATGTTTTAAGTGTTAATACAATATTGTGTATTAAGAGTGTATATTACAACAAGGGACACAATGCAGAACCATCTATCATTCACACAAACTATGATAAGTGGTGGTAAGTACTGGGAAGAAAGTTAAAGCATGGAAAATGGGTGTGGAGAAGATAGCATGTGATATTTTTTAGTAGAGAGGCCAGAGATAGTCTCTAATGAGGTCAGAATTCAAGCTGATAATTTAATAAATTGAGAGTTGATTATCTACATCCTGAGTAATCTTGGTAGAAGAAATATGAGATACTCTTACACAGGCATATTCTTGGAGTATTTGAAAAATGGCATGGAGCCTCGTGTGGCTGGAGATGAATAAGGTGCAGATTGGTAGGAAATAACAGCAAAATAAATTAAATTGGATACATTAAATTCCTTTTTTAATAATATGAGAAACCTTTAATTCCTTATAATTAAATATAAGTGTAAATCTCATCATAAAGTCCTTAGATGTGATTTAGTTTAAAAGAATCTCTGACTTCTTTGTGGTGAATATACTGGTGGAATGTGGGTGGTAGTTGGAGTAAGAATGAAAAAGAAATAGCAGTTAAAACACTCTTAAAGGCTTACGTTGCACACACACCTGGTTGTGTGCTATTCTACAGACAAAGGAGGATAATAGACTGCAATAGAGAAGACTGCAATCAGGTGAGAGACTCAGTCTCAGAACCAGCACTCTGAGATGCTGGTGAAAGAGGGGCCTGAAATTCCCCTGGATGAAAGCTCCACCATTTGGGGATACTTGCCACTATGAAGGCATCCCAGGGACCATAGAGGACAATAGAGTTTCGGATGGGGGCTATAATTAGACTAGAGACTCACTTTCATAGCTGACCTGCTGAAGTGTTTTGAAGAGAATAGCTTTCAAAGCCCCAACAGAACCTACTTAAGTTGGAGCACCAATTCACACACCACTCTTCAGAAAAGGGAGGACAGTAGATCCTCAGATCTGCAATAAGGTGAGATTCCTGTAGGTCTGCACTGCAGACCCGAGAGGATCTGAACGACTTTAGGAAAGGCAAACTTTCCTGTTCCATAGTACCAGAAAGGACATCCTTATCACCATAAAATGAAGATTTTAATCTGATGCCTAATTGGTAACATCACAAAGATAAAGAGCTACCAATAACCTATGCAGACACAATAGCAACAGCCTAACACATACCAAGAAAAACTTCACATAATGTCAAGAGAGCAGCAGGCAGCTGTAAACATTGTGAAAAAAGAACCAGAGTATATTGCAGACCCAGTAAACACCCTAGAGTCAGGGAGACGAAAGATACATATTGACATGGAGTGATTAAAACAGCTAGAGAAGAAGGTACAAATGTTGGAAGAAAATAATGGAAGCCAGAAATAAAGTGAATGTCCCAGAGGCAGAGAACAAAAAGAAATATATTGATGTGGAGTTTTATGAACAGCTACAGAAGAAGGCGCAGATGATGGAAGAAACAATGGAAGCCATAAAGAAACTGAAGTGAATACTCCAGAGACAGGTATCCAAAAGAAGTATACAGACACAGAAGAACATGAACAACTACAGAAGAAACTGCAAAAGATGGAAGGAAAAATTGAAACTATAGCTCTCCAACACGTAGTTTGAATTTGTTCCTCAGTTCCTTGACCTTAAGAAATGCTTAGTTAGTTCGCCCCTTTTGATTTTCTGACTCCAGCTCCTTGCACTTTTCATTGTAATATTTTACTTTGTCATCCCGTGCTGCCTTTTGAAATCTTCTGTTCAGCTCTTTATTTTTTTTTATTTTTTAATTGATTTCTTTATTAATTTAGTTTGTTTCTTTTTCATTTCAATGAACATCTACAGAGATTTTGGAATTCCTTTCATTCATTGTTGCACCCTTCTCCCCAAACAAACCCCCCCCGTTTCCCCGTTTGCTCCTCTCCTTGAAAAGCAAAAGAAAAACTCCTTCATTGGTACACAATCCCCCCGCACCTCCCCAAACCTCACTCCCTACCCCCAAATATAATCCACTCGGCAACCCTCATTGCGTACTCCTACGATAAAAATAATGCCCTAAAATATAATACTTTTAGACTATTCTCTCCCCCATAGACTTCAATGCCATAAACATATTTCATCCAGTTTTTCTCAGTCTTACCCCCCACCCCAATGCCAGCCTCATTCTACAACAGTGGCACCATATAGCATTTGTCCCTTTATGCTGAGTGAGGTATCTCAGTCACAATGTCCTCCACGGTCACCCATTTTGAATAATATTGCATGAGTTCCTTGTTTTTCAATTGTTCAGCTCTTTAGTATCTTGAATTCTTCTGTCTGCTTTGGCTTTTCTGAGCTCCACTGCAATATTCAGAGATTCTCCTGACATCCATTTTGGTCTTTTCTTCCTCCTCTGTCTTTGTAATCACCATTTGCACTCTTCCTGGAAGATACCCTTGATATCCTCCCACAACTCATCTGGTCTTTACTCATCAGTGTTCAAGGCCTCAAACCTGTTCCTGAGATGGTTCTGAAATTCAGGTGGGATAGACTCAAAGTCGTATTTTGGTTCCTGTGGATTCGGTTTCATTTTCCTCAGCTTCAGCTTGAACTTGCATATGAGTCGTTGGTGGTCTGTTCCACAGTCAGCTCCTGGTCTAGTTTTCACAGCTGATTTTGAGCTTCTCCAGTGTTTTTTTCCACAAATGTAATCAATCTTATTTCTATGAATACCATCAGGTGAAATCCGTGTCTATAACCTGTGTTTATGTCTCTTAAAAAATGTATTTGCAATGAATACGTCATTGATTGTTCATAATTCAATCTCCAGCTTCATTTCTGTCACCGAGTCCATGTTTTCCAACTGAATCTTCTTCTCTGTTCCCAACTTTTACATTCCGGTCACCTATTATTATCAATGCATCTTGATTGCATGTTTGATTGATCCCCAACTCTAAAAGTTGGTAGAAATAATCTATTTCCTCTTCTTTGGCTCTGGTTGTTGGTGCATGTATCTGAATGATAGTGGTATTCACTGGACTTCCTTGTATGTGTATGGATATTATCCTGTCACTCACAATATTGTACTTAGATGCATCTAGAAATGACTTTTAACTATGAAAGCAACCCCTTTAATCAAGTATGCTTTAGGCAGAATATTAAATGATCCATAAAGTATTAAATGAAGATGGAAGGAATATACTGAGTTACTGTATCAAAAGGAATTGGCAGATGCAGAAGGATTTAGTGAAACAACATAATGAGCAAGAGCCTGTAGTGATGAAGGAAGAAGTACAAGCTGCTTTGAAGGAAATAGCAAAAAGTAAAGCCCCAAGAATAGATGGTATATTTCAGGTAACAGATGC